AGGGGCCGAGCAGAAGCAACCGGAGCGACATTTATTGTAGGAAAGGGAGAAATTAACAGGTTGTTCCCTTTGCGCAGGAGCGCGGGGAGGTTACAGCCTTGCAAGCAGCGTTGGGTTTCATTTAGTAAATGGAGAGATCGCCTCTCCTGCCGGGTGGTGCTGAAAAACCCGCCGCTACTCCCCCTGCGCCATAAAAACGTTACATCCAGCTTTTTGCCTCGTTTCTTAGCGATCTGGCTCGTAGGTCTTCAAGGATCCTACAAGCCTGGAGCCAGCTTTCCTTTTTCCCTTAAAGTGCCACTTTGAGCTCGTTACGGTGCCACTCATGGGGAAACAAGCAGGGACAGCATTAAAGGTGCCCCTCGGCCTTCAGTTAATGTTTTAATCCAAACAGCCTCATGTCATCTAAGTATTCCAGAACAGAATTCATACGGTCGTGAGCACCTCACTGAAATCTGTCCGTGCCTAGCACAGGCAGAAAAGGATAATCTTAAGCAAAGATCGGAAAAAGAAACAGGCAGCAAAGATTTACTAACCATTTTATCACCATTCAGATAGGCTAGACCGTGTACACGTTTCCTTTTTTAAGTCTGAGTTTCCCAGGCTACAAAAATAAAGCAAAGAAACAACGACAACAAAATCAATAAAGCAACAGAATTAATTCATTCCACGCCCCCAAGCCTCTCCTCCTGATTCTTTGGGGACATATTTTAGGCAGGCTGAGGCATTCGTTTCAGTTGGAGGCCTACGGCAGTGCGCCCTGGTGCCGGCTGAAGTTCGTCCTGCCGGCGCAAGGGCTGAGCCGCGTCCCCGCCGACGCACTCCCCGGCTGAGGAGCCTGAAGCTGGTTGTGCAGACGCGCGGCAGAGCCACCCGAAGCGGCAGCGCTGGCCGGGAAGTGGGGCCGCTTGCACAGAGCCTTGTTCTCATGGTTCTGCAGGTGCACATCCTGCCTCTGCGCTGGCACCGCTTGAAGACAGAACAGCTCGCAAACCGACAGCGATTTAAATGCTCAGCACTTAGAATTAATTATCCCACAGCCCGTTTCCTGCTCTCCACTCCGGATTGCAAGAGGTTTAATTTTGTGACATTTCCTGTTTCAAGTCTTCCAAGATGATTCTACTCCCTTTGGTCCTGCGAGAGCCGTGAAAGATTCGATTACAAAATCCATAAACTCCTGCTAATTTCAGCACACGAACACCTGAATTCTACAAAGGCAGGACACGCACAGGGCGTTTCAGAACCCAGTGCACTTCTGTTATTCCTTAGAAGATAATGTATTTTATCTTTCCAGCACAGCGGGTGTATCTGCTGCTCAGGGTCAGAAGTGGCCAGGGCAGCATTAGAGGATCAGGAAAGAAAAAAAACCAGACCCAGGACCTGCTAAAATGTGGATGGTTTTTGGAGGCTCTGACTGCTGCGGCTCGTTTTGGCATTTTCCATCACCTCCCCCCTTTCTGTCTGTTCACAGCTTTTTACTTCGTGTCTCCATAGCACCTTCAGTGCTCGGAGCGCAGCAGCGGCTCTTCAAAGTCCATGAGGCATAATTAACTCTGGAAGCAGCCCCATGGCAGCTGATGTAATTGATTTACTGCTCCGTTTCTAGGGACATCAGCCTCTCACACTCCTTCAGCCACAAACGCACTGGGAGCGGCACCTCCCAGCCCCGTCAGAGCTGGTTTTTCGTCGAGTTGCTCCAGCATAGGCTGCGATATGTATGAACTCGGTAAATTATCTTTTGTCTTTAACTGGTTTTCTGCTTCGCTGTAGGTACGTATAGCTGCCAAATTCATCACTCATGCGCCCCCTGGAGAATTCAACGAGGTGTTCAATGGTAAGTAAATAAGGAAAAGTTGATCGGTGGCGTTTTCTTCATGTTTCATCTGTTAGGAGAGTCTGAGGCTGTGTCAGGTTAAGGCTGGGGCTGAGGCTGCTTTTCAGGTTAAGAAGTGGCGAGAGAAAAGCATGCCGTCATTCTGTGACTGCATATGCTTAATGAAAAGGTGTAATCATTATAATGTTTGCATTTGCACAGTTGAAAATGGAATGCATAAAGAGAAACTGGCTGAAAAGAATCCAATAACCTCTTTGAACTCTCTCTCCCCCAGATGTCCGGCTGCTGCTTAACAACGACAATCTTCTCAGGGAAGGAGCGGCTCAGTAAGTACTAACATTTCAAACACAAGTCCGATTGCCGTTGGAGATGCTTCTATTTCCTTACACCCATCCCTCTGCGACAAAGCCTTCTGTTGTCTGGAGAGCAATCTTCTGTAATTCCTTTCCCCCAACAAAATACGTAATGAAAGGCAAGGATGGTTCTTTCTAAAAGCCCTAAATTGGAGTCTGTGCTCTGGAGCCCATGTAGGACTGACAGGAGGGCGCTCTGCCAAGGAGTGTTAACGCTGCAGCAGCAAGTCTGGTCTTGTTGAAGCATGATTTGTAAAGCAAGTGAAGCCTGAAATACTGAGTAACCCTTGGCTGAAATTTAGAAAAAGAAGTGCCCTCAAAAAAAAGCTTTCAACATATCTTATTTACTTGCCCAGTCTCAGCAGAAGGTGCTTAAAAGTTATGCAGACAAGCTTTCTGATGCTAAGATCTTCCTTCAAGCTAGGTGACAGTCAGCAGGTCTTTACATAAGAAAATTCTTGTAAATATTAGCCTGCCTGTTTGTTTACCTTGCTGCTGTGTAAATGGCAGCCGAGGTGCTCCTGTTTTGCCTTGGCTTGTTCATCCTCCCCCAGGCTGCCTGCTGCTCTGCTTCTGAACTGTACTTTCCTAGTCCTCGCTGAATAAACCTGGCTTTAGACCTGGGCTTTTATAGCTATCATCAATAAAAGGCATTGAAAAATCCTCCAAGAGTGCTCATGTGTATTATTTGCCTAATTAAGTTGAAATTTTCTGTAATATAAGTCTCACCATATACTTACTCTTCAGTCAGAAATAGATGTGCATGCCCAGCTGAGGTTCACGTTCTCTTTAATTCTCTTTAATTCTTAACAGTGCATTTGCACAGTATAACATGGATCAGTTCACGCCGGTGAAGATAGAAGGGTATGACGATCAGGTAAGAGCAACTTTTTTATGCTTGAGGCTTGTATTACTACACAGCCAAAATAATAAAGAAGTTGTTTCATCAGGAGTTTGGCTAGTTTCATTCTCACAAGTTACCACCTCTCCTCCTTCCCACACACGTCATTGTCATCAAAACAAACTTCTGGTCTTACAAAAGCAGCACAGGTGAAATGTTCTCCTAAAGTATTGCCTGGCACTGTCTGGTGACTCAAACTCCTTGTTCCTTACATGAGGCTCCATGCTGAAGTCACTGGAATTCTACTTAGAATATGAATTATTCAAGATCACTGTTTATTTAAAGCTTACTTACAAATCCTTAAGTTCCTACCTGCTTACAGTTCCTACTGCGAGTCAGCAGTAGATGCTTAATTGTGGGGGTTTTTTAATTTTATGTTCTATCCATTCCCAGCTACCCTAAAAAAACATTGTACCTTTGATTATGCCAGTCTAGTACTCTCCAATCTATGCCAGCAAAACGTGGGGGTTCAGGCCTTTTTGGGGTGGGAGGGGGTTGGTTTGGGTTGGTTTTTTGCAGACAGCTAGCAAGTGCTGCAGCAGATAGAAAGCTGGCCTGGCCATCCCTGCTCTCTGAGGCAAGTACTGACCTAGCTGCTCTAGTGCCCCAGATACCTTCATGGCAGGCAGATATTTTTAAGAGGGCTGTACCTAGAAATAGCTTTAACAAGAGAAGGTTACAGTACGGTGTGTGTTAGAAAAAATAAAGTCAATGTTTGGGAAGGCAGAGAATTGCAGTGAATAAGATGGAGAGGGACGGGGTGCAGCACTGCTCTGCTGCGTGCTGCGGTGTGCATAGCCACGTCTATAGACCCTTCTTGACAGGAAAGAGAGCTACTGCAACCCTGAGCATAAATGGTGAATTCCAGAGTAACTGTCTTAGTTTTTTTTGGAAATGGGGAAGGAAAACAGCAAAAATAGCTTCAAAACCAAAACTACCTGTTGGTATTGTAAGGATGCCCAACTTGAAGCTAAATGTCTACGTTATTACAATACAGCCATTTCTGGGACGGAAGATGAAGTGCAGTGTCACTGCAAAGAGCAGAGAGTTTAGCTACGGCCTCACTCCAACTACTCCTAGTTGAAATTATTACTGAAAATTCTTGTTTCTCTATGTGATATTATAGCTCAGTGAAAATTCACTGAACCGTTGATGTCTATTGAAATAGGGAAAATCACAAACCAGCGCCTTTACAGCAGCATGACCGTCTCTTAATTTCAACTTCTTTCACAGGTCCTAATCACAGAGCACGGCGATCTGGGCAACGGCAGATTTTTAGACCCAAGAAACAAACTCTCTTTTAAGTTTGATCATCTGAGGAAAGAAGCAAGTGACCCCCAGCCTGAGGACTCGGAGTCAGCTCTGAGGCAATGGAGAGATGCCTGCGACAGCGCCTTGAGGGCTTACGTGAAGGACCATTACCCCAACGGCTTCTGCACTGTTGAGTATCCCTGTTGTGCCCCTGAGAGTTCGTTGTTCTACATCAGCCAGTGCCCTGAGAGGGCTTTGTGCTGGGCAGTGAATTCCCCACCCTCACTGGGGTTTTCACTGACTTCGGAATAACTAGTTCCAAAGAGGGTGCAGGTATCCTGGTGTGCACACAGCGGTAAAGATGGATTAGACCTTGTTTTTCCTAGTCATGACTGCCAAGCACCTTAACACCCATGGTTAATAAAAGAGATGTTATTTGCACGTACGTGCAAGCGAAGGTGTTGGACGAGGTAGCTGGTGGTATGTGTTCCCAGGGATGTACTGCGATAGCAAGCCCCCACCGTGCTACAAACCCCAGAAATTAAGAATGGCTTTCCTCAGCTTTTGGGCTTTTTTAACTCTTTTTCTAAATACAGGTTTATGGTAAATCTATAGATGGGCAGCAGACAATTATTGCCTGTATTGAGAGCCACCAGTTCCAGCCCAAAAACTTCTGGTAAGACTATTTCAATATAGTGTATTTTCTTCCTTTTCTAGTCCTCAAACCAACCCATCCTTTGTGCCTTCTCACAGTCTGAAGGGCAGGTAGTCTTGGGCTTCCCAGGAAGTTCTGCTTCCAGTTCTGGAGTCTTTCCTTGCAGCCCCCACATCCCTAAAGCCTTCAGTGGCCAGTGCAGAGCGTGAGGCTTTAGCAGAGCTGGGTAGATGCCCCCTGACGTATTCCAGAGCTCACGGACTCTGGAGCTCCTCTGCTGGAGCTGCGTTGCACTCAGCTGGGCTGCAGAATTTTAACTGGATGCCGTGTAGGGCACTGTAATACTGGTTATAAGACAGCAGAAACAACTCGGTTTGGTTCTTTTTGTTGCTAGAGCTTTTTGGAAATAGTTTTCACGCTTTGATTATTTTTAGGAATGGTCGCTGGAGATCAGAGTGGAAGTTTACCATCACACCACCAACAGCTCAAGTGGCTGCAGTGCTCAAAATCCAGGTGAGTTGCTTTTTCTCTGGCAACAGCAGGAGAAGCTGCGTTGTGCTTCTTTTACCCTAACGCATCTGACCCTGAATGAGATGCTGGAATACAGCCAAGATGTCCTTCTCAAGTCCAGATGCTGTTAAACTATGCAGTTCAGGAAGTTAATTCTTAAATCTAATGCTTCAGACATTGACTGCAGCCTGGCCTGTGGTTTATTAGATAGCATCCCCCTTTACGCCTCCAAGCCTGCCTCACTTTATAGGGCTAAAACCTATACCATGAATTCCTTTATAATTGGTCTTATTTCAGCTCCAGGCGTTTACTGCATTAACATAATCTTGAACAGTCTTGACAAAGAGTGAAACCTTTTAGAAAATCCATCCTGCTTTTAGCCTCCACGTAAGCAGAGAAGACCGGCACAGCAGTGCTGTCGTGCCATTCTGGTAGCATTTGGGGGCTCAAGGGATCATACAATGAGTGTTCGTGATAACCTGCGCTTTGTCTCTGTTCAGGTTCATTATTATGAAGATGGCAACGTTCAGCTGGTTAGTCATAAAGACATCCAGGACTCTGTACAGGTTTCGGTAAGTACGCTAAAAGATCTTTCTGTAAAGCAGCCGTTTTATTTCTTAACACAGCATATACTTCTACGACTACGTTATCTTGACTTTAAAATAATGTAATTTTAGGGTGACCAGTCAGTGTGGTTGTCATGTTTAGAAATACGTGGGCCATCCAGATTCTCAACTACTTAAAAGTAGACTGGATTAGAAAGTACAGTCTCTGTTGGAAGCTCACCTGACGGGTTTCAGTTGAAGAGGCCAGAATACACTTTTCTGTCTGTGTGCAAGGGAAACAGCCCTGTAGCACAGCAGAGGGAGCAGCAGCCAGGGAGATCTGTAACCTGTAGCACGACAGCCTACTTCCCTCTTGCTCACTAGGGTGCAGCGCTGTGTCAGTTTGGAGCACAAGCTCCAGCCAACACACATGCTCTGCTCTGCCTGGAGCCTCGCTGGGACATGCCCAGCAGTGAAAGGAAGCAGCTGCCAGCGATGTCCCCTTCGTCTGTGCTCAGCCTATCGTTTGGGAAGAAATCCATGGGCTAGCTTTCCTGAGCTGCTCTTAAACATACAACAATTATTCTTTTCCCTTTGTAGAGCGATGTCCAGACAGCTAAGGAATTTATTAAGATAATAGAAAATGCAGAAAACGAGTACCAGGTAAGATCAGTGGTGGTTCAATGAACATGATGGAACCGTATCAGTCTCCGTTTACAGCTAATGGAAACATGGAAAACTGACTGCTCATGCTGTTTGTGGCTGCATCGGGTATCGACTAAGAATTACTTAGAAAACAGCAGTAACATTTGTTGAAAGAAAATAGTCGTAAAGCTACTTTGAATTAAAATAACTGTATGGCACACTTGATTATTGAAGAGTTAAAATGGTGCCTGGAAGGGGAGTGGGTGAGCCGAAGCGTTTTCCTCTGTGACAGATACAAATACTGAAGAGGAAATTTGTGCGACAGCTTTTCACGTTGTCCCAGCCTGCGTGCGAGGAGACACGAAGCAGATAAATCAGGGAAGCACCCGAGGAGACGCTGCTGCGTTCGGGGGGGAATTTAACAAACCCTTTTACGTGCACACACCAGTGACTGCGTTATTAACTAGTTAATAGTGTGCCTTTGCCTTTTGGAAGGGGTTTAGTGCCTTAACACCAAGTTGTGCTTTCTCAGAGCATCTTACCACAGCCGTAACTGAATCTCCTTGCCCTTGCAGACAGCAATCAGCGAGAACTACCAGACTATGTCAGACACGACTTTCAAAGCCTTACGCCGGCAGCTGCCCGTCACCCGCACCAAGATCGACTGGAACAAAATCCTCAGCTACAAGATCGGCAAAGAAATGCAGAATGCTTAATGCAAAAATAAGGAGTTCTACAAAATGTTTGTGTGCAAAAAAACCCCAAACAAACAAATGTGGTCCTATGCCAAGTAGATGGTTTCTAAACCAGAGCAGCATTTTTCTAGGGCTTTCAAAGTTAACAGGTTTTCTAGCCTCAGAGAGAACTGTGGAGCAAATAGTGGTGTCTTTGTGTTTTGTGTTTCCTGCTGCAAAAACTCCCTGTTGTGACTGCATTTCTTGGTAGGTCTTTTTAATTAAGCCACATCCATGGTTCAGAAGTACCGCTGTTTTCAATCGTGGATTGTGCTGGTTGGAAAACTTCCTAGCTGGAGAAGCCCTACTCCGGACGGAGCTGAGGGTGCAGAGCAGCCCCTCACCTGCACACGGCAGTCCAGGTACTCCCGTCAGTTTGTCAAACTTGCCAACGGCCCCCGGCGCTCTGCTGTACGTAGAATAAATGCAAAAGGCAGAAAGCGCTCCTGTATCCTTGTTACTGACCTCCACAAAGCGAGAAGCCTGCAGGCTTAGATTTTACTATATAAAGCGAGTTTACAAGATCCTTTACAGAAATCCCTATGCAGCCACCTTTTCCAGGGACCTTTTTTTTTTTTTTAAATCTGAAGATTTGAGCCATGTTCCCTAAAAGTGAACATATTTGCTCTCCCCTCCCTCATGTCTGTACGGTTACCAAACATCTGCATTTTTACAGAACTACAAGTTCCTCTGTTGAATTACTGCTGATCCTTGTGGGCTGGATGGTGGTTAAAAATGCAAATGTCTACGGAATAATAGGTATGTTGTGCTTTAATGCTTTGTGGCAGGTACATAGAATTTGTATCACAGGTGTATGGATGGATAGTGTACAAAATAAATAAACTTGCACCAAAGTGACAGAAAAAAACCCTTTCTGTTTTGTCTCAGTTGTGGCCAGTTTCTTGTCATACTCAAAGGCGATTTTGGAATTAATCTCTTCATTGCTCTCTAAATGCTTGCTCTATTACTTTTCCCCCCCTCTCCGTAAAACCAAAAATAACAATCCTACCAGTCTCTCTTAAGGGGAAGTTGCAGGGGCACGTGTCAGCCTTTCTGTCAGAACTCGGGACATGGATTCACTGCAAAAGGAAACCCCTTTGGTGAACTCACTTTGCACTGGGTTTTCACTGGGCCTTCTTGCAGGTTCTGGTTTTTAAACTGGCTAGTGGCTTCCTATTTTTAAATACACAAAGAGAGAGGCTGGGAAGACAGCGATGGGACTACCTGTGCGTTACGCTTCAGGTTTTACAGATTAATGCTGCAAAATAAGCGTGTCTATCCTTTACAAGAAGTTTTGTCTAAATAAAATATATTTGTACTTGCTGTTGAGACTGACCATTCATCCTACAGGTATCCTCTGTACCAAATAGTCTGGTAGAAATACACATCTCTTTGTTTTAAAGCCATTTGTGTCTGTACTTTTCGCGGTCTCGCTCCTGGCAAGGGCAGATCTAGAGGTGGCAGCTGGAGAGGGGCGCTGGTGTTGCCTGCAAGCCCCAGTGCTGCTCCCGCCGCGCAGACCAGGGAGCTGGAGGTCTAAAAACTTCCTTCCAGCTGCTCAAGGCCAGCGCCGCTGCCAGCCCCTGTTTTGGGGAGGGCGTCCGCGTCCTCCCCGCCCGCAGCGCCCAGGGCAGATGAAAGGGGCCGTGGCCGAGCCCCTGAGGTGCCGTGGCCATGGCCAGCAGACAAGCGCCGCAGCGATTCCAAGAATGCGGCGCCCAAGATAAGGCCGAGCGCGCAGCTCAGCTTTTATCGGCCTCAAGGCTACTCTTTGCCCGCTCTGCTAGTTGTGCTGCAAGCGGTTCACCAACCCTTGTTCCAGCCTTAAGACCGTTTCTATCTTTGTCCTTCTCCAAATCTTCCACTAATCACCCTTTTGGCCGACTCACTCCTGCCTGGCCCTTCTGCCCCAGCCTTCTCTACAGCCCCTTCCCGGCTCCTGT